CTCAAACGTCACGTCATACCGCCCACGGAAGACTGGTTGAACGTTTCCACCGGCCTGCCTTTCCTCCAAAAGCAGATTCAAAACTAAGACGGCCATGGTCGGAACTCAAACCGTCAACGGCCGATTCAACGCCATGCGCCGTGGAGTCCGAACTGCAGGTCGAAGCGCCTTCCGATTCGCCCTGCCGGTCTGGGTCCTGCAGGTAGCGAAGTCCGACATCTTCCTCAAACGTTGTGTTGCCCGTCCTCCTGCTCCTCCTGCCTCCCTCGAGGTAAACGCGAGCTTGATCCCGGCTGCTCCCCATCTGCAGCAGCTGCAGCAGCTTCTCCTTCGCCTGCACCTGCTCCGCGATCGCGTTTAGCTGCGCTGGCGCGATTTGCTGCATCTCCCCTCCCCTTGCTGCAGCGGTCAGTGCCGGCTGATGCCCTTGCCGTTGTGCGGCTGGCGCGGGACCGAAGGTGTTGCTGCTAATGGCGCTGCTGCACCTGCAACCTTCTCCTTGATGTTTTCCATGCGGCCTGATGTTCTGGCGGAATGAGCGTCTCCAGCTCCTCGAACTGCCTGTCGTGAGCGTCATGGGTTGACTCGGTGCTGGTAGCCAAAAATGCTTCTTTGAGTATCTTGAGCAACTGATGACCAGACATCGCTGGCACTTTGACGGCATCATATTCCGGTCTCTGTTTCGTCAACGATCCTGCTGCAAGTTGTAATTGATGAGGGTGCCCGATGTTTTGGTTTGCCGTCTTAACCTATGTATTGGTTCGCACAGTATTATATAGCTGAGTTGTGGCCAGGGTTTCCTAACCTTTGGCCTGCCATTGTGAGCTGACAAACACATTGCACATCCGTTCCGCAATCTCTTCAGTCTCCTCACTATGAACATGCAATATCGAAAACTTCCCCGTTGCACGCTGTACTCTGCCCGCCGCTCGCTGGACTCGGCTGTAATATGGCAAGTGGACCGCGGCCTTCTCCTCCAAATTCGCCGGGTCTTTTGCCTATGCAATTGCCTCGGCGATACCTGGAAACAAATCGTTCTCGAACGAAGTAGTTGTGGCCAAAGTAATTACCCATCGCAGAAATACGTGTATTGATCCTTTGCCCATCAGCCCCTTTAGCCGCGGATGACTTATCTCCAATGGTGTCCATGTGCGACGTGTTCCCAGTAGACTGGGCATACGATCGACCGCCGCGGCCTTGACAATACCTGGAATGATCGCGCTGTCCCGCTTGGAAATAACGCTGTTCCAACCATCACCATGTTTGGCCATCCTCCTAGAGGGCGGAATGGCGTAGAACACGATTTGCATGTCCTGATGTTGGTGCCACCGTGAGCCCAATTTCGAGGACCACTGGCGGAGCAAGCAAGCCAACGACGCTTACAAACACTCGGCATTGATGCCCTGAAAATGGACGGGAGTAAGAAACCCGCGGCCGCAAAGCGGCCCGCCGTGGGGCGGTGGCAACACGTACCGCGGAGAAGGCATTGAAAATGCAAAAGGCAGGGCGACTTTGCCTGCCGCGGACTGGCAGTATCGTCTTCTTGTCTGGGAAAAGCAGCACATTGAGCCAACGTGGCTACGGAGGGGGCAGGGCAGAAAAGACAGATGATGATGATGATGATGATGATGATGATGATGATGATGATGATGATGGTGATGATGATGATGATGATGATGCTGCTGATGCTGATGATGATGATGATGATGATGACGAGGATGATGATGATGAGGATGATGATGATGATGCTGATGATGATCATTATTACAAGGAATATTGGATTGGCCTCCTGCCCGACCGAGATTCTGTCCGGCGGATGTTTGAAAAAATATGCAATGCTGCGGGATGCACCAAACGCGGGTTTTTTTCGGGGTAGCCCAATGGTCTGCTTCCAGATTACCTTCCCGTCGCTGGGGGCGTAAACAATCGACGCCAGCGTGGGCGGTCTCTGCCTGTCTTGCGCGCCGCATGTGTTGGTCAATGGTCGGAGCAGGCGGACGGGCCGCAAGAGGAGGGAGAGAGGAGCGGTAAGGAGCGGGGGGGAGGATGGCGACGATGAGAGGGGGCTCCCGCTTGGTCAGCTCCACCGACGCTCTCATCAATTGAGGATGGATGATGCGGATCTGTAAAACCCATGGATGCTCTTTTGAAAGGTGGGTTCTGTTGCGGGTCGGTGGACATTAACAGGTGCTTCTTTAACGTGCGAATTCTGTTGTAGGTCGGCGAAAACTACAGGTGCTACTTTGATGTGCTGATTATGCTGGAGGTCCGTACGATCCACAGATGCACTTGTGAAATGTACACCGAAGAAATCTCCGAAACGACACCAAGGATGATCGTCAACGTCTACTGATGGGCTTGCGGCGACCAGGCCCAACAATCGTCTGTTGCCATCATCGCGAACCTCGGCTGGAGTATGGATCGGGGGGAAAGATCAGGATCGGCTGGAGTCTGGATCGAATGGGAACTGGACCTGGCCGCGGGACTTCGGATCTCAGGGGGGCTGCGCCAGCCCAACTCCTCCTTGTGGAAGGGAGCAGGGTGCCTGGCAGATCCCAGCCGATCAGACCCCAGTCGATCCCGACCGCAGTCGATCCCGATCTCCGCCCATCCAGTCCTCATCTGATACCGACCCCAGCCCATCAAGCCACAGGCCACTCCCGACACCGGCTGGTCCACATCCCAGCTCACTCCGACCCCAGCTGGTTGCAATCACAGCCGATAACTACAAGGTCCATGTGATCCCGACCGTAGTCCATGCCGACCCCAGCGACCCCAGCCAATGCCGCTCCCAGCCGAATTCGACCGCAGACATTGCAGACCCCAGTCGATCCCAATCCCAGCCGATCCAGCTCCACGCCGACCCCGATCCTAGACTATCCCGCTCTCAGCCGATTCCGACCCCGGCAGACTCCAACCTTTCCCATGCCTTCCATCACCTCTGAATTTGAGTATCTTTTAACGGGTCCCCATCCCCAGCCGGCCTGGATCCCACTGGCCTGGGTCCCACTGGCTGGTTTACCCCCCTAGATGGGGATACAGGTCGTTCCCTTCGGGTTTCGAGGGGTGTATCCCCAACTGGGGTGGTAATTTGGTGGGGGTCTCGAAGGGTATGGGGATGGGAATGGGGATCGGTTAAACGATACCCAGAGTTCCTTGCACTATTAGCGCATCCGTTGATGGGGACGCGGCGAAATAGATGCCCCATCCTTCCACGCTGCTCTCGGCCCCTGCATGTGTGCTCCTTCCCCCACTGACCCTCGCTTTCATTGCCGCTTGTAGACGAGCGCGTTCCACTACTCGCAAAGTCAATACTCGCAGATCGACTGGATCCGCCGCAGGGGATCTACGATAAATTACATCGGGGAAGACAGGTTTTTTTCTGACGTTTACGAGTAGGCACTTTGCGAGCAGTGGAACGCGCTCGGCGAGCTTGGACCACTTCCTTCCTTCCTTCATTCCTTGCTGCAGGGCCCATCCCACCTCCCTCGTTTTCCGCTGCGCTGATCATGGCTAGTGCTGTGCTGTTATGGTGAGATCGTCAAGGTATCTGTTGGCCACCTGCAGTGTCCATGCGGCGTCCTGAAGGCCCGACAAGCAAGTGTAGAATTGGCGCCTCGCCTCGACGCCAGCCACACTCTTGCACGTGATGGCACACCCGACGCCTCGGCGATGGCCAAAATCTGTTTACCACCGTTTTTCAGACGCGTACTGAAAACGACCAGCGCGTCAAGCAGTGGAGGCGTCGCCGACGCACCACCCGTGGCCACGCTGTCTTCTCGACACCCTCTGTACATTTCGGGTGCAACAGCTGGCATAATATAATTTTCGGGTGTGCCTTCGTTACCAATAGCGCTACGCAGATCGGGCGCGCTGATGATCACAGGCAACGCATGCTTTCGTAGTTCGGGTTCGCCACGGCTTCAACAACCGAAAAGAACCTACACTTGGAGGAGGCCAGGGGATCTTAGCTGGATAGGGCCCGAGAAAATCAGTCAGGAAGGGGGGGTGAGGCCAAATCCGCTCAAAATTTGTCCCCAGACCCCTCCCGATGCCCATCTGGTGCAGCTCCGTACTCCGGATCAGTGTTTGACCAGAAAGAAAAATACCCTCTCGAACGCACTCAGACCCCAGCCGGCTCCCAGTCCACACCCTCTCCGCATCTGCGGACGCATGCCCAGACGTCCGGCTGCTCCGATGCGTGGGCCCCAAAGGTCCGGACTACTATGCCTCCCCAGGGCCGACGGTTTTTTTGTCCCGGGTCCTTCGTTCTCCGTTGCCGCTCCCGAGGTCCCGCGAGGGCACCCCTAGGGGGCCACATGCGAACCCTGCCCCTGCCCCCCACGATTTCGGAGGGGGAGGGTGGGGGTTCCCTTCGCTCGGGAGCTCCCGAGCGAAGAAGTGAACCCCACCCTCCCCCTCAGAAATCGTGGGGCAGGGTAGGAGGAGGAGGAGGAGAGGGGAGGAGGAGGAGGAGTAGGAGGAGGGAGGAGGAGGAGAGAGAGGAGGAGGAGGGAGGAGAGAGAGAGGGGGAGGAGGAGGAGAGGAGGAGGAGGTGGAGGAGGAAGCGGCCCGAGCAGCCCGCCCCCCAAGCTCCGCAGCTCCTCCTCCTCCTCCTCCTCCCCTCTCCTCCCCTCCTCCTCCTCCTCCTCCTCCTCCTCCTCCTCCCTCCTCCTCCTCCTCCTCCTCCTCCTCCTCCTCCTCCTCCTCCTCCTCCTCCTCCATCCTCCTCCTCCTCCTCCTCCTCCTCCTCCTCCCCTCCTCCTCCTCCTCCTCCTCCTCCTCCTCCTCCTCCTCCTCCTCCTCCTCCTCCTCCTCCTCCTCCTCCTCCTCCTCCCTCCTCCTCCTCCTCCTCCTCCTCCTCCTCCTTCCTCCTCCTCTCCTCCTCCTCCTCCTCCTCCTCCTCCTCCTCCTCCTCCTCCTCCTCCTCCTCCTCCTCCTCCTCCTCCTCCCCCTCCCCCTCCCCCCCGCGGGCCCGCCCTGGCCGCCGGGGGCCGCGCGGTCCCAGAAGAGCCCGTGGCTCGGGGGCTGCCGCGGCCGCGGGGCGCCGGGCGCCTGCGGGGCGGCCGCCGCCGCCGCCGCCCTGCTCGGAGGCGCACGTCGGGCCCGAGCGTGCGGCGGCCGGGCTCCGGAGGGCCCCTGGCCCCTTGGACCCTGACCTTCCAGAGAGCTATTTTTTAGCACTGGAAACCTAAAAACCTAAAAAACGAGACGAAACAGCCTAAAACCAAGACGTAAAATAGCTCTGATAGGTTTTTGCGTCGGGTGCTATTTTTTTGCCCTCCTGGAAGGTCAGGGGAGGGGCGACCTGGCCCAGGAGGGCCAGGAGCAGGAGGGACAGGGGGCCCGGCCCTGTCTTCCGGCGGATGCCTCGGGCCAAGCCGCCCACACAGATCGACCCCAATGCGGAGAAGGGGACCTCAGTGGGGGCACGTCTTCAGCCCACTCGTCGGATCAGGGTAGAGGAGGAGGAGGAGGAGCAGGAGGGGGAGGAGGAGGAGGAGGAGGAGGAGGTGGAGGAGGAGGAGGAGGAGGAGGAGGAGGAGGAGGAGGAGGAGGAGGAGGAGCAGTGGACGGTTTCTCGAGCGGGACGTCCAGAAAGCGCCCGCCACGGAGCATAGACTATAATTACGACTTCTCGGCGTGCGCGTCTATCCCTTGAACTGGGAGCGACGCACACCTGGTGCTACGTAGCACGCTTGGGTGACGCCGGGTCGCCGTCGTCGCCGCCTCCTTCCCAGACCCCCTCGAGTCGCGAAAGAAACGACCGAAGGTTTTTCGCCATTCCGGTCGGCGATCTTCTGACCCGGGTCAATCCAAACCCGGGTCGGCAGGAAACCAAAAACTGCAATGCAGGGGACAAAAAACTGCAACGCAGATCTTCGCAGACCCGGGTCAGCCAATATGCGCGGCCGACTCGCGGCCACGAGCGGCTCGCCAACCCGGGTCAGCCAGAGGGGGTCTTCGCAGGATCCTGCAGGATCCGGTGCCCTGGCTGACCCCCGTTTGCACTGACCCCCATCTCTGACCCTGACCTTCCAGAGAGCTATTTTTTAGCACTGGAAACCTAAAAACCTAAAAAACGAGACGAAACAGCCTAAAACCAAGACGTAAAATAGCTCTGGGATAGGTTTTTACGTCAGGTGCTATTTTTTAGCCCTCCTGGAAGGTCAGGGGAGGCCTCGACGGGCCCTGGGGACGAAAAACCGGCCCCGGGGCGGTGGCCCAGGCCTCCGGGGCCCGCGCTCGCCGCTCGGGGCCCGGGTGCCCCCGCCTGCCCGGGGGCCCCGCGCGGCTTCGCCATCGAGGGCCTGTCGCCGATCCCTCGGCGACGCCTCGCCAGCTCCGAGATCCGTCGGCGATGCCTCGCCGATCCCTCGGCGCTGCATGCCTGTCGTAGCTCCCCTGTGCCGGTCTCGCAGCACCGCTTCCTGTCAGAATGCGAAAGGGGCGGGAGGGAGGGGGGAGGAGGGGGGGGACTGGGCCCAAGTCGGGCGTGTCCCCCTACAGGGGGATTTTCCACGGAAAATGAAAAATACCCCAAAATACTCCCAAATAGTCAAAATTTTCGTCGTCGTCGTCGTCGCCATTCAGGGTCGGCGGCACCGGCCGTAAGGCCTTCGCAATACTCAAAAATAGTCAAACATATACAAAAAATAGTCCCGCGACTATTTTTCAACTATTTCTGCATAGTTTCCTACTGTGGAGGGACAGGCCCGACGTAAGACCGGGCGGGGAGGGCCAGGGCGAGGTGGGGCAGGGCAGACCTCCTGGCCCAGGAGGGGCCGCTCCTGCGGGAGCGCGTGCGCACTGCCCCGTGCGCGACTTCCCGCGGCCGCTGCCTGCGGCAGGGGTGGGCGCCGAGCGTTGGCACCCGAGCGTAACCCCGATAGACGCAACACGCAACACGTATAGCGTACTGATACGGAGCTCAACACGTGGACTGAAAACGTACTCTGAGTCCCCAGACCCCCTCGATCAATGAAAAAATCATGACGGGAGGTCTTTCCTACTTTTCGGCCTCTGGGGGCCCTCCCCGGGCCTCGGGAGCGTCAAAAAACGACTCAGGATGCAAAGCCGGTCAAGGGGAAAGGGTCGGGACCTCTGGGGGTCGACGTAACGAAAAAATCATTACGTCGGGGGTCTGGGTCTGAGTCCCTAAATAGTTTTGGGCCCCCAGACTACAATGCCCCCCCGGAGTACAAGGGCCCCGACTACAAGGGCCCCCCCCCCCCGGACTGCAGGGCCCCCCCCCCGGACGATTAGTCACCCCAGAATTATTGAGGTACTTAGAGGAGGTCCGACGCGATACGTTCGCCAAAACGTGGGGCCCAAACGTGGAGCCAGCACGCAACGTATTGACACGGACGTCTCGGACACGGGGCGTGCTGCGCTTCAAGACGGGCGTATCGAGACAACTGAGTTTGGCATGTGTCGCATTGGCATCTCGGCTGCTCGTCCCCAATCAGTGCCTGCACTGAAGGGGTCCTGGCGGAAGCTGAACGATTTGGCGAAAAAGTGTCCCGCCGAGTTTGGTAGCAGGCTGGGTTCCTGGGTGCCCGCTTCCCGGCTCCCGGTTCTTGGTTCCGGGCCGATTTCGGTGGGTTCTGGGCTCCCGGGCTCCCGGGCTCCCTGTCGATCCCCTCAGCGAAAACCATCCACTGAGAGGGTGTTTTCTCTGGTGTATTTGTTGAACCCGACCTTTGTACCCAGACCCCCGACGTAATGATTTTTTCATTACGTCGACCCCCAGAGGTCCCGACCCTTTCCCCATGACTGGCTTTGCATCCTGAGTCGTTTTTTGACGCTCCCGAGGCCCGGTGAGGGCCCCCAGAGGCCGAAAAGTAGGAAAAACCTCCCGTCATGATTTTTTCATTACTCGAGGGGGTCTGGCAATGGCCGTGCCCTTGTCGTGGACATACGTCGTCGCCGTCGTCGTTGCCGTCGGCCTTGCAGAATGCCCCGGGGCGCTGCATGTTCGCGCCCCTCGGCAGGTGGCCAAAGGGTCGTATCTCCAGCGCACTGTGCATTGCATGTGCGCCGCTGAAATCGCCCATGTCACGCGGCGGGTCCCTCCTCCTCCTCCTCCTCCTCATCCTCCTCCGCCTCCTCCTCCTCCTCCTCCTCCTCCTCCTCCTCCTCCTCCTCCTCCTCCTCCTCCTCCTCCTCCTCCTCCCCTCCTCCTCCTCGCGCGCTGTACCAGATCCGCCTTGGAGCCCACACGGGCGAGGCGCGCGGCCCAAAGAATCCTGCCTCCAGGACGGGCACCAGTCACCGAGGACGAGTTGGGTAGGAGGTGACGAGGGGTGGGTGGGGAGGAGAGGGGCCAGGGGGAATGGTTAGTCAATGGAGGGCACATGGGGGATGGTAGGGAGGCTGGGACGTAGGGGAAATCGCCGTCTTCCCGAGGGCCGTCGTGGGCGGCCACCTTCCCTGTGGGGTGCCCACGCGTCGGGCAATCCGCAAGTCGGACGGAATTGGAGCGGCCCGATGTCTGACACGAGATGACACTGGCATGCACACAAAACCTCGGAGGCCCCTGCGGGCTTCCCAGATCGGCGCCCGACCTCGGGATGGGCGGCGCGGTCCAGCTCGAGAAGGGTGACTTCGACGGCTGCCGGGGCGCACCGGGTCGAGCTGGGGGGGTCTCCAGTGGGAGGGTGGGGCCGCGGGGCTCACGAACCCCGCCTTGTTCAGGGAGCTCCCTCTGGTAGCCTCCGATCCTTCAGTCGGGCGCGCCACCGTCGCCGCAGCCGTCGCTGTCACCCGTGCTTGTGCCCGCCGACGTCGTGCCCGTCGCCGCCGCCCTTGCCGCCATCGTCGCCATCGTCGCCTCGTCGCCATCGTCGCCATCGTCGCCATCGTCGGGCTCGCCGTCGTCGCCGCAGCCGTCGCTGTCACCCGTGCTTGTGCCCGCCGACGCCGTGCCCGTCGCCGCCCTTGCCGCCCCCCGGGTCGTGCAGGTCGTCGTGCGTCGTCGCCGCCGCCGTGGTCGCCGCACTCGTTGTCGGCGTCCGCGTCGTCAGCGTCGTCGTCGTCGCCGTCGCCATGGCCGTCGCCGTCGGCGCCGCCGTCGTCGTCGTCGTCGTCGTGGTCGTCGTCGTCGTGGTCGTCGCCTCCGTGCCGTCGTCGTCGTCGTCGTCGTCGTCGTCGTCGTCGTCGTCGTCGTCGTCGTCGTCGTCGTCGTCGTCGTCGTCGCCGCTCTCGGCCCCATCGGAGGCCCGCGGCGGGCCCCGGGGTGGGCGTCGGAGCGGCCGAGCCCCCGGACGGCAGCGTCTGCCCAGGGCCGCCAGGGAGGGGCTCGGCGGCGCGCCGCGGGGGGGAGGCGAGCGGGGGGGGTGATGACTAGGGGGGGGGGTATCATGGCGGGGGCCGTGATAGTCCCTCGGGTTTCATGGCGCCTCTCCTCATTCCATTACGTCCCTTGGCCCCCCGCTGGGACGCCCAAGATGGCCTCCAAGACGGCCCTGGAGCACCCCAACAGGGCCCCAAGTCGGCCCAAAAAGGCCCCCCCACACGGCTTCCGACGGCGTCAGACGGGCTGGCCCTCTCGGCAGGCGGCGGGGCTTCTCGGAAGCCTTCCCGCCTCCCCGAGGGAAGCCCCCCCCCCACATGCGGCTCCGGAGGAGGCTCAGGAAGGGTTCGCCGAGGGCAGGCGGCCCGAAGCGAGAAGTCGCGCCGCCGAGGGATCCTGGGACGGGAGGGCGCCGCGCAGCATCCACGATGTGCGTGCTGGGCTCGCTCTGCGCGTCCTCCTCCTCTCCTCTCCTTCCCTCTCCCCTCCTCCCCTCGCCTCCTCTCCTCTCCTCTCCTCTCCTCTCCTCTCCTCCCCTCTCCTCCCCTCCCCTCCCCCTGTGGGGGCCTCGTCGTCGTCGTCGGCGTCGTCGTCGGCATCGTCGAAAAGGTCCGCCGCGGCGCGGCGCCGCGCGCCTGCGGCGGCGGCGGCCGCGGCGGAGGAGGCCGCATCGTGGCCGCGGGCGCCTGGGGTGGTGTCTCCTGCGGCCAGGGAGCGCCCTCTCTCGAGCAGGGGGTCGACTGCATAATCCGCTTGATCCCAAAACTGATTGTGACTACCTACCAGACCACCCCAACCCAACCCGAAGACCCGAATTTCGGGTTGGGGGGGGTATGGGTTCCATACGTGTTTTTTCGATGTTTCCCGACCCCCCCCACTGGAAATCGAGGGTAAATCTGAGCCTTCGGGTTGGGTTGGGGTGGTTTGGTGGGTGGTGAGATTGGTTCGTCGAATTTACGATTAGGTCGGACCTGTCCCCTACAGGGGCATTTCGGACGAAAAATAAGAAATAGACCAACAAATGCGCAAAAGATGCCCCAACATACTCAAAACATATTACCAGGTAGACTATTCCCCCTGTAGAGGGACAGGCCCCGCTCAAATTTACGGGACATGCATAGGATGCTCCATAGAACTATATTAAGAACAGTCTCAGCACAGTCAACCCAGGATGCAAGGGCCGTGGAGGGCCATGTCGAAACTTTTCGAGCGGGGCGCGGCCAGCGACAGTGGCCCAGGATTGGCGGACGGGGCAGGGATACCCGGGCATCCTTGGGAAGGCTGCCCACCCCTGCCTTCTCCCAGAACTGATTGGTCCGCCGAATCCGCGGAGCATGCGCAGAATGCTCCGCAGGAGGGCAAGAGCATGCCGAGCATGATTCGTAGCTTCGACGGCAAAAAAACGCTTTCGGGTAGGATCCATTCTGCAAGTGGGCCCCCTGCAGCCGACCTACACCCTGCGAAATGCTTAAGAAATCATGGGTTAAGAAATTCATAGTCTCAGAAGTTGAATAAAAACCCAAAAATTCTATTCAAATCTTAGGATTTACATTGAAACATTAAGAATGATCGAGACTCTGGCCGAAAACTTGGGTTTTCTTAAGCATCGCCTAAGGTGTAGGATCCATTCTGCAAGTGGGCCCCCTGCAGCCGACCTACCAGTCCGCCTCGGCGGTGCCCGACCCGCCGCACCGCGGCGTGAGCCGGCGGCCTCTCTCCCGACTGCCGCCCCGGCCCCGCGCCCAGGCCCGCGTGCTGGCCAGAGGGAGGTGCCCGTGGAACGACGCGGAGCTCAGTGTGAGCCGCCCGAAGGCGAAGGATAGGGTCGCCGTCCACTTCGGTTTCCCAGCCGGTCGGTTTTGGACGGTCGGGGGCATACTTGGTCTCGCGTTAAAAGGAGCAGCAAGGATGTGGAAGTCACGGTCGCCAACCAATCTTGGCGGTGGTTGGTGTATCGGCTGTCTCAAGCAGATTAGCACTGCAAATCCCACCAGCCCTCTGGGCAAAGGTGATACAACAAGTGGGAGGGGGAGGGCAGGGAGGCGCGGGACGCTGCAGGGAGGGGGGGGGGGCGCTGCAGGGGAGAGCCGCGGGGCGCTGCAGGGGGTGGAGAGCCGCGGGGCGCTGCAGGGGGGGGTGGGGGCGCGGGGCGCTGCAGGGGGGGGGGAAGGCAGAGGAGGGCGGGCTTTCGCGGCAGGCTCGGAGGGCCTCCAGCCCTCCGCAAAGACTGCTCAGAAGAAGAAACAACGCCACAAACTGAAACTTTTGGCGCTCCGCGCGGATTTCTTGGATCTGGCCTGAACCCCCCTCCCTGGCGCGCGAAGCGCGCCAGTGGCGGCGCCGGAGGCGCCGCTGAGGGGGCCCAGCGCAGACCCAAGAACTCCGCGCGGAGCGGCCAAAGTTTATGTTGATGGCGATTTCTCTTCTTCGATTGCTAGGCTTATGTCGGGCTTATGTCGGGATTTCCGACGAAAAATAAAAATACCCCAAACATACCCCCCAAAGGTAACAAACATACTCAAAACATTGTCCCCAGACTGTGTGTGGACTATGTTTTGACTACTTTTGGGGTAGTTCTTAGTATTCGTCGAGAGTCCCCCCTGTAGGGGGACAGGCCCGACTTCATGCCAGGCCCTCCTCGAAGGCAGGGGCGCCGCGGAGCCGCCACGCCAGGCACGATGATGAGGACACCGTGGGGCCACCGCGCCCCGGCCCGTCCTGGCTGAGGCCAAGCGCGGCCGGGCGCGGTGCCCCGCAGGTGCCTCCTTCGGCCCTCGCTCCTGCGCCCTGCACGCGCCCCGCGCTCCAGACAAGCGGGAGGGGGGGAATGGGAGAGAGGAGGGCGTGGAGCGGAGGAGGAGGAGGAGGAGGAGGAGGAGGAGGAGGAGGAACATAACACGAGGAAGGAGGATGGTGGGGGAAATGGAGGGAGGATGATGATGGAGGATGGGGGAGGAGCAGGAGGAGGAGGAGGAGGAGGAGGAGGAGGAGAAGGAGAAGGAGGAGGAGGATGTCGACGACGATGGAGAAGGATGTGGATACAGTGAAGGAAAAAGGGGAAATCAGCCCCTATGCACAGTGTTCCTCCATCATTCCCATCCTCCTCCTCCTGCATCCTGAGGAAGCAGACAAGGATCAGAGATGGAGATGGAGAGCAAGATGACGGCGACGACGGAATCGGCAATGACGACAACGGCAACGAAGGCGACAGGGAGGATGACGAAATAGCAACGGAGAGAGGCCGCTGCCGAGATGTCGCAAACTGATATTTGACGACGGCAAGGTACCTGTTTAGAGGCCTCCTAGATGGGGTCCGAGTAGATGGTGTGGGAAGACTTCGCCGAGTCGCCGAAGCATCGGTCATGCACCGGCGACGTCGGCGTGGAATAATCGGGCTCCACATCGAGCCGCATCGCCGATGCATCGCCGACGCGGCGCGATCCTCCGCCCCCATCTGACTACCTACCAAACCACCCCACACCAACGCGAAGACCGAATCTCCGTGTTGAGAGGGGCCCAGGTTCCACATCTGCTTTTTGTCCACGTTCCCCGACGCCCCCCCACTGGGAAGGGAGCGAAAATTGGGGCCTTCGGGTTGGGCTGGGGTGGCTTGGTGGGTGGTGGCCCTCTGCTCGGACCCCACCCGGGCGTCCGAGGCTGCTCCTCCTGCCGCTCCTGCCGAGGCCGCTTCGCCGCGGGCTGCCGCTGCTCCGCCAGCAGCTGCTCGAGGATCTTCCGCCTCCGAGCGCCGCTCGACCGATCCCTGGCCCCGCTGGCGCGGCCCGGGCCCCACTGGCCGACGCCGCCCCCCCGGAGCTGGGGATACGGGCCGCTCCCCGCGGGGCTCCAAAGGCACATCCCCAACTGGGGGAACCAGCAGATACCGGTGCCCAGGGTGCGTTCCGACCGGACATTCGCAGCGACGAGGGTCTCCCAGGAGGACCCCCAAAGGGGCAAGCGAGGGAAGCGCAGCGGTATCATCGGTACCGCTCGCTCCTCTGACAACTGACCGACTCGCCCCCCCCGAGATGGGGACACGGGCTGTTCCCTACGGGCTGCGAAGGGCACATCCGACGCTAGAAGGGTGGGATGGTGGGGGGTCGTGATGGGGACGTGGATCCAGGCCCTCGACCATCTCGTGCCGGGTCCCCGTTTTGAAGAGACAGCACCCCGCGTCTTCCTCCTCCTTGTCCCCATCCCCTCTGCCTCCTCCTCCTCCTCCTCCTCCCTCCTCCTCCTCCTCCTCCTCCTCCTCCTCCTCCTCCTCCTCCTCCTCCTCCTCCTCCTCCCTCCGTAGCCATTTTGGCTCAAGATGCCTAGTTCCACAGGGGAACAAGTGGATACCGCTAGTCCGCGGCCTGTGCCAGGGCTCTTGAGCCCGACAGCCCCTTCTCGATCCCAAGTGCAGACTGCAGCACCATGGCTGGCGCCGGCCGCAAGGAACGCCAGGACTGGGCTTGCAGGAGCTGTACGACGAAGCGCGGCAAGCCGCTCATCAACTTCGGGACCTCGCTCAAGTGCCAAGGGTGCAGGCTCCACAAGAAGGACGTGTACGGCGGGCCTGTGCCGCCGAAGGAGCCCTCGATGCGGGCCCCAGCCAAGGGCAAGAAGCGGGCCCCGTGGACGGCCGAGGGCAAGCTCGAGGGCGAGCTCGCGGCCATGCGGGCGGAGCTCGACGCTGCCAGGAAGAAGCTTCGTACGCAGGAGTCCGACCAGGGCGGGGCCGCGGCCATGCACGTGGACGACGGCAAGTCAGGCGAGGACGCCTCGGCTGCGAGCGAGATCAAGGTGTGCGAGGCAGGCCTGGCCACGCTCAAGGACGTGCAGCACGACTGGGCCACGGGCCCGCGGGAGGATCTCAAGCGCAGGCTCGCCGCCGCCAAGGACAGGCTCTTCGCCGCCAAGCCGCTCCACGCGCGGGTGCAGGCGCTGGCCCACAGGCAGAAGAATCTGGCGGACAAACTCAGCAAGATGGAGCTGGCCGAGCGCGAGGCGGAGGACCGTGTCAAGAAGGCGCAAGACGAGCTGGAGCTCAAGCGGCATGGTGTCAGAGAGCTCAAGGCGCAGCAGGTGGCCCTCCAGGCGGAGCAGTCGGCACTCCAGCAGCAGGTCCCAGTCGCGCCAGAGGATCGTCCGCCTGGGCAGTCCATGGAGCACGACGTCATCAAGAACACGGGCGGCCTCACCCTCGGCGACCTGGCGCAGGCTCTCAGCGGTGCGCTGGCCGCTCACCCCGACGACACCATGCAGACCGCGGGCGATTTGCCGCAGCGGCTGGCCTCGGCGCTCGGCGGGCCCCTCCAGGAGCTCATGCTGCGGCGGCAGCGCGAGCGGGCCGCCGCCACGGAGGCAGCGAGCGCCCCTCGCACCCCTGCAGCGTCCGTCGAGGGAGACGACGCCGCCGCCGCCGCGCATGGCGCAGGCACTGCAGGCGGCGCCGCCCCTGCAGCCGCAGCGCCGCGCTGGGATCCCGCCGCGATGGAGCCCGAGAAGCTGCGGCAGACCATGGCGGCGTTCTCACCAGGGCCAGCAGAGGAGACCAGCGACGCCATGCTGGCGCGCGCCACGGAGCTGGCCGTCAGGGGCTTCAATCCTTACTAAGCTCATCATCGCGATGTCCTGCACACTTGCGATGGCGAAAGGCACTATCACTACCAGCAACGTGACTTCCTGGGGTTCATTGGCGCCGTGCCTAGAGACCCTCGAGTCGCACGTCGTTCTCGTCCAGGAGCATCACCGACGGGACGAGGCGAAGCTCGCCGACCTGCAGCACGAGGTGCTGGATCACGGGTTCGCGGGCATCTGGGCGCCAGCAGTGGCAGGCCCCACCTCCGCGGAGGGCACTACGGGCGGCGTCGCGGTCTTGGCCCGCAAGAACATCCCCGTCACGGCCCCGCCGCTGCTGCCCTCGGCGACACTGTGGCCAGGGCGACTGGTGGCCGCCCACGTGCACTGGGGAGTCCGTGGCGGCATTGTCTTCGTGTCGGCCTACCTGGTCGACAGCGTTGGCATGAACGACGTGAACCGAAGCATCTTCGGCGCGCTCACTCGCTACCTCACGAAGCTCACGGCCTCGGGCATCGATTGGATCGTCGGCGGCGACTTCAATGGGCCTCCCAGCTGCCTGCCCCTGGCGCAGTTGGAAAAGGCGGGGGGCCTCTGGCTAGCGCCGTCGGCCGACACCTGCCGCCCACAGGCGGGCAGCGGCTCGGTGCTGGACTACTTTCTGGTCGGTGCAAACCTGGCCAGCCGCATCTCGGCTCCGAGAGTGGATGAGTTGGGCATCACCTCCCCGCACCTCCCTGTCAACATGGAGCTGCGTGCCGCCGACCTGGACATGCGCGTGAGGATCCCGATCGCCCCCAGGGCGATTCCAGCGGTGCCGCCCATCGGCTGCAGCCGCGGCGTCGAGGACTGGGCGCCCACTTTGGCCCAGGTGCGCGCCACAACCAGCGCCGAGGAGCTGCCAGCAGCCTGGGACGCCGTCGTCAGCACCTTGGAGCAGGAGCTGTTGGACCGCTACGACCAGGTTGGCGAAGCGCGCAGGCGGTTCGAAGGACGTGCGGGGCCCATTGCGACCAAGCTGGCGCCAGTCAAGTGGAAGCCGCAAGGGCAGCGTGTCCGATTGGGGCCTGATGTCATCGCGGCCAAGGTCGCGGGCCGATGGGCGCGTCACTTCATGGGGGTCAGCGCGTTCCTCGCGAAGGCCAGCAGGAGGCTGCAAACCGCCAGCCTGCAGTGCTCCCTTGTCCCTGAGCAGTACCACGAGCTGGCGGACTTCGTCGTGAGGGCTTTGGAGTATGGGCGCGTGGTTATGGACAGCAAGAAGACGCTAGCACTGCTCCCGCATTGGGTGAGGTCCTTCTTCGAGCAGGGCTTTCGCGTGATCGGCAACACCGACTTCCTACGCGGTCGTGTCACATCAGGGCGTGCTCGCAGGATGCACTCACGCCTGTGCCATGGTCACCTTGCTCATGTTCAGGCTGCTCGAGCAGGTGCGAGATGCAGGCGTCACCCCGAGGGCCCTCGTCGACGACGTCACCTTGCAGTGGCGCGGGAGGCGGCTCTCGCAACTGGGCGTGCTTTGGGCGGCCACCACCAGGTTCCGAGAGGGCGCCCAAGAGCGAGGCATTGTCGTGCAGCCCACCAAGTCGGGCTACTTGGTCTCATCGGACGCGGCTGCTCGCGAGTGTGCCCGTCACGCGGCGGCCCGCAAGCTGACCAAGATGCGCTGGGCCCGCAACCTGGGGCACGATCTGGGCGGGCGCAGAATCGCTAGGCTCCAGACGGCAAAGCGGGCGCGGCAGCTCAAGGAGCGGCGCGGCAAGCTGGCAGCTTTCAGAGGGGCAGTGGGCAGGCGCGCTACCTGCCTGTGGAAGACGGGCCTCATGCCGAGTGCGGCGCACGGTGCTGGGGTGTCAGGGCTCACCGACGATACGCTGCAGGTGCTGAGGGCCGAGGCTGGCAGGCTTGCAGGGGCTCGGCCAGGTGCATCGAGCGTCACGGTGTATTTAGCCACGCAGAAGGCGCGCGAGTACGACCCCATCTACGGCGCCACCTGCGACATCGTTTGCCGATACGCCAGCTGGATCTGGGAACAACGCACCTCCCTGGCTAGGCTCCACAGGGCCTGGGCCAAGGTCACGGAGCGGCTCGTGGGGCGCCCGTCCTGGGCAGGGGCTCGCGGTCCCATCGCCTCCGTCACGCTGACGCTCTGGCGCATCGGATGGCACATGTACTCCAGCACGACCCTGGTCACCGACCAGGATACGGCGATCAACCTCCTCACCACGTGCCCGAAGGACGTCAGGATGCATCTGACCGGCGGCGTGCAACGCTGGCAGGCGAGGCAGATCGCGGCGCACCACCGCCAGCACGGCGAGGTCAAGCCTTGGGTGCGGGCCATGCGGCTCTGCGTGGGCGACGGGCGCGCGGCTTTGGCGGAGGGCCCGTCGGCCACCAGCCTGCGTCACCACTGGGCGACGGTGGCCTGGACGCAACAGGCCCAGCACGACCTTGGGCTGGCGGCGGCGCCGAATTGCAGGGCCTGCGGACATCCGTCCGACTCGCCTGGGCACAGATTTTTCGGCTGCGAGGTACTCGTGCAGCCGCTCACAGAGGAGGAGCAGGACGAGCAGCTGCCGCCCGAGCCGATGCAGGCCATCCGCACCTTCATGTGCGACAAAGGCCTGCAGGAGGGCGGCAGCTTCGAGAGCGCCGACTTCCAAATGTGCTTGCCCTGCATGCCGCCATTCGTGCCGCCCGCCGCGGAGCAGGCCGAGGTGAAGTTCTGGGGCTGCTGGCCTAGCCAAGGGGCGGACACGGCTTCCTGCAGCAACGCCGTCTTCACCGATGGCTCAGGCTTCGCGTCCAGCATGCCCGAGCTGAGGCGCTGCGGATGGGCCTTCGTGCAGCTTTCCCTCCAGGGACTGCCTGTTCGGGCGGCGTTCGGGGCGCTGCCAGGGCCGCTCCAGACGGTCGGGCGCGCGGAGAGGCACGCGCTGCTGCAGGCATTGCGGCTCGCGGGGCCGCAGCTCGAGTTCGTCTTCACCGACCTTCTGTCGATGGAGAAGGAATGCAGCCACTGGGGGCAGGAGCTAGAGGAGGCGCGAGCGGCACATGCCACAGTGTGGAGACGGATTCGTGCCCAGCCAGCGCGGCCTGAAGTGAGATGGATCCCCGCGCATCAGGACATGGATGCGTACTTGGACCGAGGCCTCCACCCGCTGCTGTACTCTGGCAACATGTGGGCCGACTGGTTCGCTCGGCAAGGAGCCATGCAGCACACCGTGTCGAAGGTGTACGAGGAGTTCTACAACATCGAGCTGCAACACTACAAGAGCCTGGCAAAGTACGTCGGCTGGGCGATGCAGAGGACGATGCACGCAGGCCGCTGGGATGCGCCCGAGCAGACAGCCCGCCCGCCAAAGGTGCCCAAGGTGCAGGCGGCGACTGTGATCAGCCACTCCCTGGTTCGCCTGAACGGGACGGCGGTGGTGCTGTGCCGCGCTTGCTGCAGGCAGACCAGCGGGCAGACGGGGCCCACATGGACGCAGTTCGCGCGTTCAGCTTGCGAGGCCAGCCAGTACACCGCGCTGCGGGCCGAGGCCATCATCGCGCACGTCGGCGCGCAGCCCATTGTGGTCTCGGAGGCGGGCGAGTTCGCTATGCAGGCGATCGAGCGAGCGGCGTGCCCCGAAGATGCGGGGCCCAGGCCAGCCGAGCCTGCCCCCTGGGGCTCAGGGGACGGCACCATCGAGATGCAGGGGCACAGGCTGAGGCGCGCAGGGCCCACCATCTACTGCGAGGTATGCGTGGCGTGGGCGGCGACAGGCTCCTCACTGGCCCTGGCTGCGCCCTGCGCTGGCCCGCCCAGCGCCGAGGGCAAGAACCAGCGCACCTACCTGTCCAACCTCAGGGCGCGGCTCAAGAAGCTCAGCCAAGGGCTGCACCCCAAGACAGGAAAGGTGCTCACTTGGGGAGGTGCAGGCGAGGCTCCAGACGGCCCCAGAACATGGGCCACAGCGGCGGCCAGCGCGGCCGCGGGCGACATGGCCTCTGGGGGCGACGGCGCTGCAGAGCGGCCAAGCGGCAGGCACGCGCAGAAGGAACAGGGCGAGGCGACCAGGCCTGGCCAGGACCACGAGACGCGCGAGGTGCCTGCAGGGGCTGGAGGTTCCGACGCAGTCCAGACCAAGAAGCCTGCTTGGCGGGTGCGACGGCAGGAGCTCCTGGAACGGATGCAGCGAAGGCAGCAGCATCTGCTAGCCGAACGTGGTCCAGCAGCCGCCAGCGGCGCGCAGCGTGATGAGGGAGACATGGCCGACGGCAGCTTGCCCTCGGCCTATGGAGCGCACCAATGCCCCGACGGGGGCACCACTGGACTGGTGACGCTCCAGCCGCCGCCAGCTGCCCCAGACGTGGGGGTGGTCGATGCCTGTCTGGCGGCGGGGCCGTCGCGGCTGCCTGCGCCCTTGAGGTGTGACCTGGCACACGAGGTGACGCTGACCACGGACCACCAGGAGGGCGCCGTGACCAGCCCTCAGGACATGAGCAGCCCGCCGCAGCCGTTCTCGACTACCGATATGGCCAGCACCAGGGGTGGCAGGGGACCTGCAAAGTGCGGTCGCGAGTGCGGCCCCGCCCTGAGTGCTGGCAGGTCTGACAACTCGCAGCGGGCGCTGCCAGGCATGGCCAGTGACAAGGGTGGCAGGAGGCCTGCAAGCCGCGACCCTGAGTGCGGCCCCACCTTGGGCACTGGCGGCGACGGCAGCCAGGCCCACCGCGTGCGGCGACGATTTACGGCCTGGGCCAGGGGTGGCAGGGGACCTGCAATGTGCGTGCGTGAGTGCGGCCCCGCCCTGAGCCCAGGATGCGACGAGGACCGCGACGGCAAGGGTATGGCCAGCGCCAGGGGTGGCAGGGGACCTGCAAAGTGCAGTCCTGTGTGCGGCCCCGCCCTGGGCACTGGCAGCGGGTCTCTGGAAGCGGCGTCGCCTGAGGAGGACCAGCGGCAGCCGCAGCTGGCTTCTGGGGAGGCGTGTCCACGTGCAGCTACGGCTGGTGCCAGGGGTGGCAGGGGACCTGCAGTCTGCGGTCCTGAGTGCGGCCCCGCCCTGAGCACCAGCACCCACCCCGAGCGGCGACGGATTACGGCCTGGGCCAGGGGTGGCAGGGGACCTGCAATGTGCGTGCGTGAGTGCGGCCCCGCCCTGAGCCCAGGAAGCGACGCGGACCGCGACGGCATGTGCATGGCCAGCACCAGGGGTGGCAGGGGACCTGCAAGTGCCGACCGTGTGTGCGGCCCCGCCCTGAGTGCTGGCAGAGTTGCGGTGGCTCGGCCTGAGCCAGCGCAGCCGAGGCGCAGCGTCGCGCCCAGGCTTGAGCTGCAGGTCGCTGGATGGGCGCGGTACTGGACCCAGGCTCCCGAGGTCGGCGAGACGATGGAGTGCCACAGCGAGTGGCTCGACCACTGCGCCGGCTACGTCACGCAGATCCTGTCCCAGCCGCGCTTCGCCACCAGGCTGCGGGCGCGTGGGAGGACGGCCGAGGAGATGGCCGAGGAGATCTGCGAGCGGGCCTGGGGGACTGGCATGCCCGCGAGGCGGGCCTACTACAGGTGGCGCCACACGCTGACGCGGTCGCAGAGGATCGTGTCGGACTGCATGCGGCGCTACGACTACGTGTGCCTGCGGACGTGGCTGGCCGAGCTGCGGCGGGAAGGGCAGCCACCGCCCATTGGCCCGCTCAGAGCGCCTTCGGTGCCGTGGAATGCGGGACGCAGGAGGCGACGGAGAAGTGGTTGAGGGTCGGCCTCTCCTGGCACGGGCAGCCGCTGCGTGGCGTTCTGGCCCCAGCGGCTCGCCGCACGGCGCTGCGCGGCGGTCTGGCCCCAGCGCGCCGCCCTTCGCGTCCGTCGACGTGATCGGCATCACTGGCCTCCCCTGAGGCTGCGGCCCCCTGGCCGCCTGTGCTGCGTCTAGTTGGCCTGGCCGACGCGACGTCCTGCCGCTGCTCTCCGCTGCTCTCCTCCTCCTCCCCCTCCTCCCTCCTTCCCTGCGCGCCTCTGCTCCCCGCACGTTAACCACTTCGGCACACCTCTCAGGCGCTTCGTGCTTGCATAGGGAGCTCAACCGACGGCCCCGGTGGCGACGTTCGCATGGCCCCCCCCCCGCCCCATGTCGGCACACCCCTCAGACGCTTGGCGGCACAATGGGGGGGGGAGGAACCCTACGGCCCCAGTAGCAGCGCCCGCGTGGTGGCCCCGCCCCGTGTCGGCCCACCCTCTCCACGCTTCGTGGCCCCAGAAAGAAGATCCACCGAGAGCGATACCCACAACGGCGGTGCTCACATCTGCACATGGATCGGTCTTTCGCAAGGATGATTTCCTCACAACGTCGACCCCAAAGGCCTCGACTCATTTCCCCGGACTGGCTTTTCATCCTGAGTCGTTTTATGTTCACGGCCCCGAGGCCAGAGGAGGGCCCCAGGAGCCGAGACTAGCGAAACGCCTTCCGCCGTGATTTGCTCCTGACTCGAGGGGATCGATCCGCTACACACCTGGGATCGAGGGGATCGACGGGATTGAGGGGATCGAGGGGAGTCACCAGCTACACACCTTCCGCCGTGCTTGCTCATGACTCGAGGGGATCGAGGGGATCGACCAGAATGTCCCTATGCAAGAATGACCTGTGGTGCGCGACTTTCTGGGGGGCCGCGGGGGGACCCAACCCAGGCGCGCGCCAGACGCTACTCTCGCATCGCGTTCGGCGATCCGGGGGCCCCTGTGGGCCCGCACCAAAAGGTCACTCCGGCGAAGTGTCACTCTGTAGTCGAATCCGGTGATGGGCCGATTCTCCACCACCGCTGCCACAGGTAGGAGAGGGAGGAGGAGGTCCTGAGGTGGAGGAGGAGGACGAGGAGAAGGAGGAGGGAAAAGAATACCTCCCTTTTCCCTCGTTCTACCCATGGTAGTGGCTTGGACTCCAACGTGTGTCTCTTGCTATAGAGAGGGGTCATGAACCAAACGTTGAAGCACAGACTATGTATATATCTGTGCATCTGCGGTCTGGCGAAGCGGGGCGGCATCAACGCGACGCCGAGGAGCGTCGTGGACTCACCATCTGGGGATTTGAGCAGGGACCGACCGTCCCGGCATTCCTATAGTCCTACCACGAAATGTTCTTAGAACCCAAAATGTTCTAAGTACAAAAACAATGTTCTTAGAACATGAACCCAATGTGTTCAAACCAAGCAGACTCCACGAGAAATGTTCTAAGAACATCTCGTGGGAACCACAAAAAGGTTCTTAGAACATTGTTTGGTGGGGCTATAGGCGAGCCAGGACGCTTCGCCACTGCTTGACATCTGGGGACGGGGATCGGTGAAACGACCCTGCGCCTCACCGCAGCCAGCTTCTGCGCGCCGCCCGGCACGGACGCCAGCGCCCGCTGCGCGCGCTCCTCCGCCTGCCGCTCCAGGCCCTCCCGCTCCGCCTCTCGGGCGCAGCGCGCGCGCGAGCCCCGAGCCTCCGGGCGCTTCGCCTCGAGCAGGGCACCGACCACAGGATCGATCTGCCCCAGCATCGATGTTCCGTCCCCCAGTCTACGAAGGAGTGCGCAGGAACGCTCCACGGATCCTGCTAATTACGTGCCTTCTTCGTGGGCTCGGTGAACAGATCACCTGTGGGGCAAACCACATGCTGCAGTCGACATCCCCGACTCGAGCGCCAGCCCTCCACGCTCGGGAGCGGCCAAGAGGGGGGCGTCCAAGAGGGGGGGGCGCAAATCATGGCCGGCGGCATGTGCGCGGCCCCTGGGGGGGCCGAGGCACGTAATGAAACAAGAAGAGGCGCCATGAGATCTGCGGAAAAATCATGGCCCACGCCATGATATCCACCCCCCTAGTCATCACCCCCATCTTTTCCGCCCCCGACACGCACCACGCGTCTTCGCCCGGCTCTGGGCCCCGGGCCGGGGCTCACGTATAATTAGCGGGGGGCGACGCTCCTGGGGGTCGGCCAGATCCCTCGGGGATCCTCTGGCTGACCAGGATTTTGGAGAGAGGAGGAGGAGGAGGAGGCGGAGGGGGAGGAGGAGGGGGAGGAGGAGGAGGAGGAGGAGGAGAGGGAGGAGGAGGAGGAGGAGGAGGAGGAGGAGGAGGAGGAGGAGGAGGTTGGACGCACAGAGACAAACGAGTACTATATGTCATTCTTGGAGGCGCGCGGCCGACCCGATCATAGAATGTATATCCACCTCGTAGTACCTCGTGTCCCGAGCGGCGTGTGGCCAGACAGCGCCCGCCACCGCGCATATACTAGCAGATGCCTCTCGAGTCGCGGCGAGGTCCTCAACGAGAGACTGCAACCGCGGGAAACAGCTCCTCGGAGCATACACGCTTCGATCGTGAAGTCACGCTTCGATCGTGAAGCCAGATGCCTCGGTGCGCGCGTCGCCCCCGGGGGGCGGCGCTTTGAGCAGGGGCCGACCGTCCCGGCATTCCTGTAGGCCTACATCGCAAAGTGTTAGAACCCCAATATGTTCTAAGAACACAAACTTCTTAGAACATACACCCCATGTGTTAAAACAAGACAGTCCCGACCAGAAAGGTTCTAAGAACATTTCGTGCAAACCACAAGAGGTTCTTAGAACATTCTGTGGTGGGACTGTAGGCAAGCCAGGACGCTTCGCCGATTCGCCACTGCTTCAATGTCAAGGTGACGCCGACCTGGAGCCGACCCCGCTCCCCCGCTCTCCGCTGACCCCGGCTGTTGGGAGCTGCTATACTTAGTGGCTCTGGCCTGGGATCGTAGCGTGGCCCCGGCTGGCCCTGGCTGGGGTTCGCGATAGTCCCCGACCGGGACCATCATAGATTTAGGTCGGGTACGTCTCCCTACGGGCAGATTTTGTAGGACAAATAAGAAAATAGCTCAATAATGTTAAACAATCAATCAAAAATAGTCGAACAATCCTCCTCCCGATGTTTTACATATATTTGTTGGGTACTCCTGCTGTGTAGAGGGACACGCCCGACTCAATCATAGATCGACCCGGCTCGGAAAATGCGGCAGAAAGGTGGGTCTCTAGGGCTCTGGTCGCGATGTTTCGCCATGCTGCCGATTGTTTGTTGCAGCCTCGGATGTCACGGACGGGTGACGGCACGACCGAGGGACGATCAAAAGCCGAGAGCGAAGGCGACACCGTCGCCGAGGCCGACAATGTTCCGCAGGCAGCCTGTAATGGCGCAGCGACGCGGCCGGAAACGGCCAAGCACCTCGCGTGCTGATTTTCAACGACAACAAGCATGTCCGGGCACAGTCGGACCGTATCAGAATGATCGGCGATAAGGATGCAGGGGCCCTGGACTCCCTTTTCGAAGCTTTTCGAGCGGGGCGCGGCCAACGAAAGTGGCCCAGGATAAACCAAGGAGGCAAGGATGCAAGGGTACCATTGGGTAGGTTGCCCATACCTTCTGTGCGAGTTGACTGTCGTGGTATCGGGATCTCTTCCACTTCTGAAGGGCAACTGACCGACCCGAATCGACCCAATACAGCCGGCTGTGGCGCAGCAGGAGCCGACCAGACCCGTGGACACCACCCCTGACATCCACAGGGTCATTCTTCTTTGTTCGATCCGCGCCCCGCAGAGGTCGTTTCCCGGGGGGTAGTTTTCGCCCTGGGTCCATTCGTCATGGTCTCCCTGGAGATTCGACGACGCGACGAAAGCTGCAACCTCGTGACAAATGATTACCCGAGCGCTGCGCCCCATCTTCTGCTGTATTGTTCAAGGGGCCCCAGGACACACAAATAAATACACACAAATAAACATAATCCCCATATGTTCCCATATTTTCTGGGTTTTTGTCTTCCCCCCCAATTCCCATATTTTCACATATTTTCTGGGGAATCGCCGATGAATTGTGTCTGTGTGTTTCTTGTCCTCCTGTATTGTGTCGAGCCCGACCGACATGTGAGGGCCTCGGGGCCCGCAACTAAGGCGCGCACGCTCGGTGTGACAAAAAACCTTGCGACGCCCAGGCCTCGGGGCGGCCTCGGGACCGACAAATGTGAAGGGGCCCCAGGACACACAAATAAATACACACAAATAAGAACATCCCCAATTTTTTTCCCATATTTTCTGGGTTTTTGTCTTCCCCCCCACTTCCCATAGTTTCCCATATTTTCTGGGGAATCGCCGGATTAATTGTGTCTGTGTGTTTTTTCCCCTCCTGATAAACATTGCGACGCCCAGGTCTCAGGGTGGCCTCGGGACCGACAAATGGCCCGTGAGCGCCAAAATCGCAGAAACGACGCCCCGTCGAAAACACCGCATCGTCGGAGATCCGGCCCCGCGGCCTGCTTGAAGGGGGACGTTCGGGGGGGGGGAGGGCCAGCTCAGCGAGGGGGGCGACGCAGCGTCGGCATGGATCGGCAGTAGACCCCCGAGAACGAATCCGCACGTCTACGGAACCATGACGCGAGAAAGACTGGGGGCTGCCCAGCCACAAATATGGAAAAGAGGTTGGCTAAGCCTGCCTCAGTGCTGCATTGGACTCAGAAAGGGAGCGCCAGGTCGAAGCCGGGAACCATATCGGCGACCCTATCGGGGCACCAGCGGTGATGAATGGGCCACTGGGGGTCCATGCGCCCCCTCCTTCGCCAATCGCCCCCCCCCCCCCCTGGCGTTGGCTTTCGGGTCACAATACCTCGGGCCTTTCGCCGTCGCTCGGGACGACCCGGGCAGCCCCGGAGCGCTCTCGGCGAGGCGCGGCGGCCGGAAGGCGTCCCGAGGCGGGCACGCCGCCGAGAGCCCGCGGGAACGCCCGCCGGCCTGGCACCCTCCGGACCTCCAGCAGCTCCGCCCTTGAGCCCGCGCACCCCCCCGCCCACAGCGTTGCCCCACGCCGGCCACCTGAACGTTTCGTGGTCGGC